CCTTGGATTGTTATCAGTAAATTTTTTAGAATGAAAGTAGCTTCTTTTCTGTTTTTGTAAATTAATTATCAAACTCTTGTCAAATTGCAGGAATTGAATGTGTATCTTGAATATCTTTTTAACCTTATTGTTGCTCGGGCTCCCGATATTGGTTTGGAGGTTCAGTTAAATCGATATGATCTATTTCATGGTCACCTTTTTATCACAGAAACCAGGAGGCTTGGTATATTGTGAGTTCACATATTTCACCTTCATCCCCTAAAATGGCTCTGGCAGTGTGAAAATAATGTGTATATTATTAGATGTTATTCCTTTGAGAAACTGCTTTTGGGTGGCTTGTAATAAGGGTCAGATTGGAACTTTTTCAGTTTACAAGATGTGAGATCAATAGGTTGTTTCAGTTTGTGAGGAAGAAGGATTTTTCTTTTCTTTTCTTTTTTTATTTTTTTGGGCCAAGTGAGCAAGCAAGTTTGTTTAAGCACTTTTGTTCCATTCCAAATAACATCACTTACCTGTAAAAAAAAACATCATTTATGTGTAATTCATTGGAAGGAAAGAAGTGAGAAAAGCAAAGATAAGATTATACTCATGACAGACTAAGTGCATTGCAAGTTTGCAACTTGAATGGTGTTTCAGTGTTTGTCCTTTGTTTTCTAATTAATTCTTGTCTTTGTAAATTCATTACTAGTTATACTCATCTTACTTGATGAACAGAAACATTGTTACCAGGCAGTGCGAGGGGATATGTTTTTGACAAAACCTATTTCCCTAAACATTTTGTTTGTTCCATGGCAGGTTTCATGCTAAAGAATACCCAGCATGTGACGAAGACTTTCCCATCAATATGGGTTATTGCCAGATAGGTACAGTTTACCCCACAACCTCTATTTCTGTCAAATTAGTATCTTCTTTTTGGTGCTCTTTTTACTGGTAAAAGAATTATCTTAATCTCTTTTGAACATAAGTTGTAGTATATAGAATCATTTTAGAAGGTTTATTAGTAAAGTTCTTTTATGATGGAAGATTGATCTAATCTCTTTTTATTTGTTTTGTGATATCCTACTGATGTTTTATAATGAAAATATTCTTCTAATCGACATATATAATTGATAATTGTTGAACTCAAGTGATGAAATATTCTTGTGAATAGACTGACTAATTTCTATCCTATAAAAAATAAAGCATGACTAATATCTCAAGAAAGTGGCAATCACATCTGTGATCAGGTTCCATGGGAGAAACATAATTTTAACCAAAAGCTGTTGCAGTGGATTATTGGTGTCGATTGCCTTATTTGTTAGTGATTTTGCTTGTCTTTCAGGATCCAATACAACTTATGATGATTCAATGAACTTGAGAAATATTCTCTGGCTGGCTCCGTTGCCAAGCAATTCGAGAGAGGGTTGGCTGGTTCCAGGTACATATTTTCATCTTGTGCTTAATGAATAAGTACAATAATAAAAAAATTTTGTTCTTGGTGCTTAATGAATGAGATTTTGTAGCTTACAGAAAATCAAATATAGAAGGTGAAAATGCTGCTAAATACCTTTTGTACTTTAAGATTCAGTATTGATTAATTTCTCTGTGCTAATTGGTTTGATAGGAGTCCTAGTGGTACTAGATGCTCATCCAGAAGGAATTATATACAGAGATTTAATTCCCGAGTATGTGAATTTTGTGAGGACAATCTATGAAGGTTTGGTATCCATTTGCCTTTACCTTTATTTTAGTGACTAAATGCAATTTCACACACACATCCATCCACATCTGTTTATATTTGCTTAAATTTCTATGGATTGGTGTAGTGACACCATTTATTGATGTTAACCAGCTGATCTGGGTGATGTTGTGGTTGATGTAAACTATTTGAACGTTGGTGATAAAAAGCCTAATTATCAAATTTTCATTTGCTAACGTTCTCCCCAAGGTAAATTGCTTTTCTTTTCCTTGATAACATGATAAATCATAAACTGGTCAAGTGCATTGTTGAGATTCCATTAAAAAAATGCTGCCACTCATTTTATCATTACTGATTCCTAGCTTTGCCTTAATTTTGCATTTCACACCATGAGAATTGTCATCAACGTTTACCAATTTTTGATAAATTGCAGATGGGAGATTGAGCAGGAGATAAGCTTGAAACCTGCCTGCTACACAAATTCTGATAACATCATCTATAGAGCCCCTCAAAATGGAGGCAGTTTTTGATCTCAGAAAATGCATACCGATGTAATTGACTGCTTATGTATGTCACTGATGAATGACATAGACCATTTTTTGGTACCATACTCACGCTAGTTCACTGCATAATGTATATATTTCCATTGATCATTGGATTAAAATAAGCCATTTATTTAGTAGCAGCTCCTTACCATACAAAGCTCATTATTTGTTATTGTTTGCCATGTTTTGTTTCTGTTTCCATTCCTCATTAAATACTTACAAGTTAATAATATACATGGAGAATTAACCCAAGTCTGTAATCTAAAAGAAAGTAAAATTGCAGCAGGGAATACGTAATTCTTGTGTCATGCCATGCACGCAGTTAAATCGAATTCTTGGGGGTTCCTGAATCAGAACACCAAATTGAGGTTTCATGCTGACATTCCTTTAAATATGCAAAAGTGTCCCTTCTATTACCGATGTCATTGCACAAGAGTACCAACTGCTGCTGACTGCTGCCTTATGCAACCTTCTATTTGAAAAAAGTTTCAGTGTAAAAATAAAATCATGGTAATTATATCTCTAATCAATAAAGTTGATATGTCAGAGGCTTTTCATGTTATATTAAAGGTTTCAAAAGTTTCATATTAAAATATTTTTAAATGTGTAAAAGTATCGCCTTGTTGCATATTAGATTTTTTTTTCTTTTAATTTTTTAACTTTTTAATTTTTAATTAAGACAAATAATAGTTTAATCAATTTGTAATTTTTAACCAATGAAGGGTAAAAACGTATTTCAATGCCAATGAATTTTTCTGGGTTTCTTTGACAAAATAGAATACTTGCAAGGTTAAATTGACACTGTGGAGAGGCTACATCGAGAAGTGGAGCATAAAGTCCAAGGCTTAAATTAAATTGTAGAAACATTTTTTTTTTCAAAACTGTTATTATTACTTAATCGATTAATTAATTACTTTTATTAGCAAGCCTATATTTTCTGGTTTTGGGTTGGGCCAGCAATAAACCATTGGCCCAAAAAAGACAGTCCGGACTCCTGAAAAGTTCCAAAACCCGATTCTTCTGGAAATTACTCCAGTGCCACCGCCACTGCCGCGTAGCTTGCTGTGTCGGCCCAGTTGAAATAGTAATCTAAGGGTAAAAGGTACCCGTTTGCCCCTTAACTTTTCGATTTTGAGGGTTTTTACCCTTCATATTACAATACATGGATTTTTGCTCTCCATATTTTCGAGTTTAAGGAAATGAGGCAAAATTTAACATCGGAGTGTCACGTGTAGCACGTGCACCGTTGGCTTCCGTCAAGTGTGCACACGTCAGCGCCATCTCAAGCTTTTTTGACAACTTGGCATGTCAACTTGGAACCACATGAGCGGGAAATCTACCTGCAACCAATTTTATTTGTGGGCCCCACTGCTAACTAAAGGTTTAAAAAAAAGGTTAAATCCTCGATTTAGTCCCTTAACTTTCATTTTTAAACTAAATTTACTCTCGAACTTCAAAATATTGTGACTTGGCATCAAAAATATAATTTAATAAATAAAAATTTCTTTTTTTTTTTTTTCTTTTTTCTTTCCTTTCCTTTTTTTTTTCTCCTTCTCTT